ACTGATTAATTGTTCTAACTGTCTGGAAATTTTTCCTTAGTTCTAAGTTGCTTCTCTCCTTGATTTGTTTCCACCTTTTGCTTCTTGTCCTACTCTCAGATGCTTTGGAGAATAGCTTTATTCCCTTTTCTTTGTGGCAACCCTTGAGATATTGGAACACTGCTATCATGTCTTCCCTAGTCCTTCTTTTCATTAAACTAGACATACCCAGTTACTCCAACCATTCTTCATATGTTTTAGCCTCCAGTTCCTTAATCATCTTTGTTGCTCTTCTCTGCTTTTATGCCAGCAGACATTCCTGTAAGCTTATGAACTCAAGACTGCATTTAAACAGTTGTCTTGCTGCACCATTGATGCATACTCTATGGCTACACAATTTAATAATAATATGAAAAAGGCATTAATAATGAAGAACTTTAAACAAAAAGCTCAGTGGGATGATAAATGTGATGACATCTCATTAGGCATAAATTTCTCATTATTTGAATTTTAAAAAAAAATCTGAAAATTCATACTTAAATATATTACCAGTTGATGATTTTGCTTGTTCATTTTTAAAAATAATCTCTTCTACCTCTGCATCAATAATATCAATAAATAAAAAATAAAAAATAAATTGTAAATAAATTGCAACATAACGTGAAAAGTACATTTCGGTTTCCTTCTGCTATAGCAGCTAGTGAATATACATATTTTATTTGATCAAGTTTCAGTAACAAGCTGGATATGGATCATAAGAATGTCTTCTGAGATATGAAATACAAGAATTAGTTAGACAGTTATTTTACCAATACACAGAGCATTTCACTCAGAGGCTCTGTCTGTAACTTTCTAAACCAAATATCTCTTTTCCAAGAATTGTGCTGAAAATAGTCAGACAATCCCAGAAAAACATACAACTGCTTTAAGAAAGTGTGAACAGGTGTACTCCACTTCATTCTTTTGCCTTTTTGAATGCACCCCTGTAACATATACTGAATTGTTTCTAATACTCTTACTATGTATTTGTCTATGTACAGACATTATTTATTGTTATGATCAGAAAATGATAGGAATGCATTTGTTTGTTTAGAAATGTTTTATGAACAATGGCGAATATAAAGATTGACTTCATTAATTAGAATATAATTCTGCTTATATATTGCATAAACATATACTCATCCCAAAGTTAATTCAGTTTACCTGAACCATTCTCAGATTGGAATATAGATGTTTGCCTTTATTTTTTGCTACCTACAATTGTAACTTTTGAAAGCTACACTATGTGGAATACATCTAGCTTAGTGTTTACAAAGGGTAAACACTCATTAAACAAACTAGCACTTTTATCCATCAAAAACTATTCAAAAAGTATTTTCAGTATCTGATTCTTGAAATGAGCAATCATTAACATCCTTTTTCCTATATTATTTTCAATGTAAAAATAAAACGATATCTCTTTAAGAGCACAGAATATTTTTCTTGCTGTTTTCAGTTAACTCTGAGAACATAATGTGATCTAATGGGAATATACTGTAACATATAATACTATTATAAGAACATATGATGCTCATTATGCAGTATAGATTGGATGTCTTAGAGTGCTTAAGTATTGAATCGCACTCTCAGAAAAATAATTCCTAGCTATGGCCCAAAAAAATTAAAACAAAACAACCAACACAATCAGTGTATTGACACAAGATAAATAGGGATTTACCATGCCAAGGCTGCGGGACTTCAGTGCTGGTCTCAGGTTTATGCCTAGCATAAATTTTCTCTTAGGAAAAAAACTCCCAAGAAATGCAAGTTATTGACTGACACATTTTTCCAGACCTCTTGTATACTGACTAGCATATTTACCAGCATGCACATGTGAACTAAGTGTATTTTATAGAATTTAAAAGACAAATAAAATTCTTATATAACATAGTTTAAATCTATGTGCAAAGGAATAGGTGTCAATAGCTAACTGTTTTTGTATTAATCATCATTAAGTGTCTGGCTATTCAGACACAAAAGATCTTCCCATGCCTTTTAAATTGCATTTGTAGTAACCGACAGAGAAGAGATGGTGGGCTATCTGTTGAAAGAAAACAACCAGAGGCCACCAAGGACTGCACTGTTCCTCCAAAAAAACTAAAGCTGTATCTCATTCCTTGAAGTGTCTCCTTTTATGGCCTAAACTGGCTACATAATCAGAAAAGGCCTTTTTGAGAATCAGCTCACTTTCACTAGTAATTTACCTAGTTAGTTACTTGGCTGATAACATGCACATCCCAGGTTATAATGTGTATTCCCAGGAAGGACATTCCCAGTCTCCGAAGTCATAGAGAAGTCATTGTTAATTGAATTTATTTAGATTTGAATAAAATTGATATAAAATTAATTGTTTTTTATTTTTATTTTTTAAGTGTGTATTTTTAATCATGGTAAATTCTGAACATTGCATAAAAGATAGATGGAGCATACATTTGAATAAATAAAAGGGATTTTAATGCATAGAACAGCTGGGGAAATAAATAAAAAAGCAATATTTTATTTAGAAGTAATTATTGTACATGGGCAGAGATACTAAAATGAGGTTTCTTACTAGAAATCCATTTGGCATAATTAGAATTAGAAATATTGTTATTCATATGAATCGAAATAGCTACAAGCAAAAATATTTTGGCAAAATAGGACTTTCCTAACTTCCATATTTCCAAAGAAGATTTTACAAAGTCACCTGTAAAGTCTGAGAACCCCCTATTTGATATTCAGTACACTGATAGACTTACTGTTTCAGTAAAAGATTTGTAGCTCAGATTGTAACAAAAAATGTCTTCATTTCATGCTAGAATACTGTTGCTTACAAACCACTAAGAAAGAATTACAGTTCTATGCCATCCCTACTTCTTTTTAACATCTACATGAAATGAAGGAGGTAGTCATTCCTCAGTATGAGGTAAAGCATCATTAGCATTCTGATGTCCCTCAACTATATAAATCTGTTCCGACTCAAACAAGTGAAAGTTGTTGAGGTTCTGTCACAGTATCTGAAGCCTATTGAAGTCTGAAGGGAGAAAACAATTTCAATTCAGTTCTACCATGGCTGAATGGTCATGGCTTTTGGATTCATAAGAGGAGTATGGGCCAGATTTCCTATTATTGATTATTACTAATTGTTACTTTTTTCTTGCATAACTTTCTCTTGTATGCCTCTCAGAGACAAATTTAATAAGAAAAACTTACTTCTAAAGGAAAAAAAACCTAATAAATTTGTATTCCCAAATTATGTTGGTTTTTTTAATGCAGACTTTGACACATGGAGATAATTTAAATAACAATATAAAATTTTACCAGATTTTGGTAGTAGCAGTGGACTGATTGTTGTTTCAGTGATGGAAACATGATGCTTGGCCTTTGTATCTGAAAAAGAAAAAGAAAACCTTCAAAATTATTAACATGTAAATAAGGTCAGGTCGGGCATTTTAAAATTGAAGGTGAAGGTGAAGGTGAAGAAACATGCTGTGGATATGAAGTGTACAAAATCAGCCACACAAAAGGGTTGAGAAAGAAGTAGGCTCAATACATATATAAAATTAGTGCTTTATGAAAATTTCAGGAGCCAGCTTAAAAAAGAAATGGACATTACAAACACGTGGGACTTGACTTCGTATAATAAGGCCACTTCCAGCTATTTTCATATGACTGAATCACTGTGCAAGGAAAGAAAGAAAAAGCAGTACTGTGGAGAAAAAATAAATAGAATGGTTAAAAGTCTTCAGTGCTAAATGACTAGCAAACCTAGAGAAAGGATGGGATTTAATGAAAAAAAAAGATGATGTTAGATGATCTTACAGAAAAGAAAATGTAATGGATTTCTGAACAAGAAAGTAAAATAAGAAAATCAATCAATGTGCCAGGAAAACACTATTACCTACTATTGGAAGTTCATTGCTAAACGTAATAGGTTCCAAAACTGTACCGGGGAAAAAAGGGAACTATTAGAATATGGAAAACCTTTCAGAATGCCTGTAACTGCAACACTAATTTACAAACAAAAAAATATTGTAGCTTTAAAGACAGAAATTGATACATAATCTTAGAAACTAACATTAGAAACTAATAAGAATCAATGCATTTGCGCACATGTTCCAAAGTTGTGTTGAATCCAGAAAATACCTATGCCCAAGGAGTTGCCAGGAATGCATTATCTATCTATTTACTAAGAATCATATTGAAAACAATTTTATCTCATGTATAATAACATATAATTATCAGGATTAATAATTGAGAGTTATAGCATGCTCAAAAGTTAACGAAGATAATTATATGCTCATCCCAGCTGAAAATAAAAAAAGCAACCAACCCCCAACCCTCCAAATTTAGAACGTCGAAACTGAAGAACATGGTTACACCTATGTACTCTAAGATGCCTCAGAGGTGGTTCATAATTTCACAAACATGAATCAAAAGCATTCCATCATAAAATGCATGATCTTAAGATAAAGAAATATATTGTCTCAGATGGGTCTTATTCCCCTATATGGACTCTCATAGGAAGCTTTAGTGTATGTAGTGGATTTCTCCAATTATGAAGTTTACCTCTATTCCCATTCTATAAAGGGGACATTCAAGGTGTTGCAGGACATTCAGTATTGGATCACAACATTTATAATTTATACAACTTATAATTTTAAGGAAGTACTGACTTCATAGTACTATTGGATAAGATTATGCTATATAGGTTCAAGAGGTTCTTGTAATAAGGCAGAAAAATGTAAATAAAAAAGTCACTCTACCATGATTTCTCTCTGGTACTTCTGAAAAGATGTAGTTAGGTTCTTTAATTTTTGATGGATCAGGGCTTGATTTATAGGAAGCTGAAAGGAAGTCCAGTCTAGATTTAATCTGGGTGTTTATAGGAAGGTACAAGATTCAAACTACCATGTGATATTAATCATATCTTATGACAGGATTTTGAACTGAAGAAGAAAGAATTCTCAAAGGGCAATGAGGGTTAAACCTTGGGAAAATAAAGTTCTAAATAACATGAATAAAAATGGATAGTCAGCTAATACTATGCACTGGTGTAGTGAAGTTCTGCAGATGACCATCAGATGATCACGGGCATATTTTAAAAAGTTATATCCATTACAGAAACTCCTTGTGCCATGCAGCCTTGGCAGCCTTGTAGCAACAACAAACTGTATTCAATTTTACCTAACATATGAGAAAATATAATTACCAGGTTTGGTAATTGGAAGATCTGGTGTGGTCAAGACTTTAGGAAGATATTTATCATCTATTGTTGAAACTGGAAAAAAGCAAACCCCCAAATAAGTTCTCATTGTACATATTGAAGGATATGGCTATACACACATACATATGTCTAAAGCTATTTCATCTTAAATTGGAATTATCAGGCATGATACTACTATGAATATATTGCCTTAGATGGGTTTTAATCCTCTATAAAAGATGATCAAAGGAAATTCTAGTTTGTAGGATGTGCTTTTTCTGATTATAAAGTGTACCTCCATTCTACTTAGTGTTGTAGAGCATTCATGATTCAATAATATCATTAGAATTTGTGCATATACTAATTTCCAGAATGTCTGGATTTTGTAAACCCTTTTGATAAGATTATACTAGATGGATGCAAGAACTATCTTGTAAAGGGCCAGAGAGTAGAACATAAAAAGGCACTCTACCATGTTTCTTGTCTGGTACTTCTGTAATGATGTAGCCAGGTTGTTTAACTTTTGATGGAACAGGGCTGGGTTCATAAGAAACTGAAAGGAAGTCCAAGTATAGAATTAGTCTGCAATTTGACAGGAAGTACGGGATTCAAAATACTGTGTGACCCTAATCATATGACATGAAAAGCTTCTGAAGGAAGAATTGTCAAAGGATAATGGGTAATTTCAGGAAAACCACGAGGAATGCTTTATCTACCAACACTTCACATATAATTTTATCAAACATATGACAATATATAATTACCAGGTTTGGTAATTGGAAGATCTGGTGTGGTCAAGACCTTAGGAAGATATTTATCATCTATTGTTGAAACTGGAAAAAAGCAAACAACCCCCAAATAAGTTCTCATTGTAGATATTGAAGGACATGGCTATACACCCATATATATGTCTAAAGCTATTTCATCTTAAATTGGAATTGTCAGGCATGATACTACTATGAAGAAATATATTGCTTTAGATGGGTTTTAGTCCTCTATAAAAGATGGTCAAAGGAAATTCTAGTTTGTAGGATGTGCTTTTTTCTGATTATAAAGTGTACCTCCATTCTACTTAGTGTTGTAGAGCATTCATGATTCAATAATATCGTTAGAATTTGTGCATATACTAATTTCCAGCATGTCTGGATTTTGTAAACCCTTTTGATAAGATTATACTAGATAGATGCAAGAACCTTTGAACCAATTGAAACTGGAAAAAAGCAAAGAACCCCAGAACAGGTTTACAGTGTCCATACTGAAGGATTTGGTCACACCTATGTACCCTAAGTCTCCCATCTTGAAATTGAATTGTTATACACGGTCCTACAATTAATTAATAAATTGTCTTAGATGATTTTTAATCTTCAGTGGAGGACCATCTAAAAAATTTTTTGGTGCTTGGATAGATGTCTTCAGGTTTGAATGTGTACTCTACTATTTTTTATACAGTTTTCTACAGCATTTTTGATTGAATCAATCATAAGGGGCAATACAGGATTCAAAATACCACATGGCACTAGTCATACCTTAAGAAAGGATTCTCAAAGAGTAAATCTCAATAAAATGTACATCAAAAGTAGCATGAGAAAAAAATGGATTGTCTACTAATATTATGTATCTTCGTAGTGTCGCTCTACAAATTATCTATCAGAATGTCTTTCAAAGATCTGTTCAATCCAGAAACCATTTTTCTAAATAGCCATCTAGAGTGCATTATCTAGCAATAATCACACTATATACATTTTCTTCCACACATGGGAACACGTGATTACCAGGTTTGGTAAGTAGCAGCTCTGGCGTGGTCAAGACTTTAGGAAGATAATTATCATCCTCAGTTGAAACTGGAAAAAAGCAAAGACCCCCAAAACAATTTCAAAATATTCATATTAAAAGGCATGGTTTCACCTATTTACAGTATGTCTAATTTGCCTAAGAGCTCTTTCATCTTAAAATGGAATTTTCAGGTGTGATTCTACTATGAAGAAACAAATAGTCTTAGAAGGATTTTAACTTTCCATATTTGAGCTTCAAGGAAAATTTTGGGTGTATGATCCACTATCATTTGGTTGGAAAGTGTGCTTCCACTTATTGAGGAAGTATTGTAAAAAAATCATGAATAATGTACTTAGAACTTATGCATATAGACATTTCCAGAATATCTGGATAAAAGTACACTAGAGAGATGCAAAAACTTATCTTGTAAGCAAGAAGAAAGTAGTATATAAAAAAATTCACTCTACCATGTTTCCTGTCTTGTACTTCTGGCATGATGTAGCCAGGTTCTTTAAATTTTGATGGAACAGGGCTTGGTTCATAAGAAACTGAAAGGAATTCCAATATAAAATTAGTCTGCAATCTGACAGGGAGTACAGGATTCAAAATACTTGTGATCGTATGAGATGAAAGGATTTTGAAGGAAGAATTCTCAAATGGGCAATTTCAGGAAAATGAAAATCAAAAGGAGCATGATAAGAAATATATAGTCTTCTAATTCTAATACTAGCCATCTGTGTCATAAAGCTCTGCATCTAATCTGCAGGCATATCTTTCAAACTCTGTTCAGTCCAGAAACTCCTTGTTTCTAAGCAGCCACCAGGGGTGCATTATCTACCAACAATCTCTTCACACATATTTTTATCAAACATATGAGAACACATAATTACCAGATTTGGTAATTGGAAGTTCTGGTGTGGTCAATACTTTAGGAAGATAATTATCATCCTCAGTTGAAACTGGAAAAAAGAAACAACCCCAAGTAAGTTCACATTGCTGATGTTGGAAGCCATGGTTACACATACATATGTTAAAGTACCTAACACCACTTTCATGTTAAAATGGAATTGTTGGGCATGGCCCTACTATGAAATAGCTTGTCTTAGATGGGTTTTAATGGGTTTTACATACAGGATGGTCAAATGAAATTTTGGTTTGTAAGATGTGCTGTCTTCTGGTTGGAAAGTGCACTTCCAGTCTGCTCTGTATTGTAGGACATCCATGATTGATTAATATACTTATAATGGCTTCAGGTAATGGATTCCAGAATGTCTGGATTTCATAAATCCATTGTATAAGATTATACCATATATCTTCATATCTTATCTTGTTAAGGGTCAGCAAGTAGTACATTGAAAAGTAACTCTACCATGTTTGCTTTCTGGTACATATGGAAGGACGTAGTCTGGTTCTTTGAATTTTGATGTAACAGGAGTTGGTTCATAAGAAACTGAAAGGAAGTCATATCTAGAATTAATCTACATTTTGACTGGGGTGTGTTTGTCAGGATTCAAAATACTGTGTGATCCTAATCACATCTTGTGATTTTGAACTGAATAAGGAAGTTTTCTGAAAGTGTAATGGGAGTCAAACATTAAGAAAATAAAGATCTAAGTAGCATGGGAAAAAAACATATTGTTCTCCCAATACTAGCCATCTCTATAGCAAACTCTGCATATGAGCTACATGCCTTTTGATGTTATTTTCAATCCAGAAAGTCCTTGTTTCTAAGTAGCCACCAGGAATGCATTATCTACCAACAATAATACTGTATACATTATTATCAACATATATCAACAATTACCAGATTTGGAAATTGGGAGTTCTGGCTTGTTAAAGTCTTTAGGAAGATAATTATCACCCTCAGTTGAAACTGGAAAAAAGCAAAGAACCTCAAAATAATTTCACAGTATCCATACTGAAGGACATGGTTTTATTTATATATGTCAAGTTGCATAAGAGCTTTTTCATCTTATGATAGAATTGTTATACATGACCCTGCTCTGAAAAATATATTCTCCTAGAAGAGTTTCAATTTTCCATACTGAGAATCAAGGGAAATTTTGGGTTTTAAGGTGTGCTATGTTCTGGTTGGAAAATACACTTAACATTCTACTCAGTCTTTTAATCTTCAGTAGAGCACCATCAAATAAAATTTCAATGTGCCTGGTTTGATGTATTCATGTGTACTTCTGTTCCTTTTTAGGCAGTTTTGTACCACACTCATGATTGACCTAATCTATTTAGAACATGCATTTTATAACTTCAACAAAGTCTGGATTTCATGTTCACTTCAAAAATGAACAATTAGAATAATACTAGACGGTAGAAAGAAGCATATTAAAAAAGGTATTGGTATTGGTATTGGTATTTTATTATTTGTATGCCGCCCTTCTCCGGGAGGACTCAGGGCGGCGAACAATTCAAAGGGGAAAAAAAGGGGGAACATAAAAGGATTGGATCTGGGTACTTGAGAGACCGCCTACTGCCAATTACCTCCACTAGACCAATA